ATGGCTCCCTGTCCCTGCTGCGATAATGCCAGCATCTTTAAAACTACCCTTATACATTCTTGGCTACAACAAGGGCGTCATCCATGAATTGTCAGGGCATGCTTTATTATAAATTTCGTAATACAGTAAACCCATGTTATTCATGGGAGTTAGGTTCCAAGGAACAATTGGTGGAAAGCACTTGGAATGAGAGATTTCCGGGTAACGAGACGAATCTCTCAAAGCCGGAAAAAATTTTCTCGGAGGTTCCAGAAATTACCCATTTCATCGTCTCTCGAACTCTGAAAAATATCCCCCATCCCCGGAATATTCTGGGTACCGGAAATATTTTCTCGGAATTTCCTGAAAATGTGCCCAATTTTCATCTTGAACCCGGAAAAACTCCCTCGTTCCCGGAATTTTCCGTGTACTGGGAAAATTTCTCAGAATTTTCCAGAAAATTTGCCTCGTAAAATAGTTGCCAAAGCTGGAATTTTCTGGAAAATTCCCATTTTGGGAATGATTTTCCGAGAAAATTTCAATTCCAGGTATCGGAGAGTTCCGGGTTTGAGGGATTCCTGCTAACGGAGATATTAGTGTACCTCAGTGCGCTACTGTATACCTATACCAAACAACCGAGCAGCCGCGGCAGCACTCATCCCCTCTTTTAACGTATCTAATAATTCAGCTTTCTTTGTCAGGGTCATCACTGACTTCCCCCTTTTACATTTCACTCCACTAGCATCACTAGCACTGACACTAGGCAGTCTTTTAGGGTCCATTTCACACAGAATCATTAAAGTTTTGAGAGTACAACACGGGATGCTACGTCACAGGCAATTGGTGAGCACGGACAGAGGGAGATAAGGTGCTGCGGGCATGTGGGATGACTCGATGCACTGAGGGAAAAGGCTCGCAAGCTAGCCAGCATCTGCTTGACGTGAATCGTTGAAATCTCGAATCACAAATCCACGAATGGCAAGGGTCTACTGTATTTGGGAAAATTTTGAATTATAAGAAACCTTCCAATATATTACAATATATGCAGTATTGTATATTACATTTTTGGAAATATTGGGTAAAATTAACGACTATGAGAGAAATTTTTGAATATACAGTATATGATGCACATTTTACCATGGGATGCATCCTCCGAACACCCTCCTCGGTGTACAGTAAACATGTACAATACGCGTCAAGCTTGTTGGTCACAGTCAGTTCACGTTGGTCAGTCACGGAGTGTACATTGATGGTCTTCCGCACAAGGTTTTTCCCACTTATTTTTCCATCATATCCCAGTGTTTGAGCCATTGCTATACAGTATGTCTGATAACCTTGGACCAAGCACCTAAATCTGGTATTGTACTTAGATATGTTTAAATTTCGATTGGGGCAGAGAACGTAAAAGTGCCTTTTTTTGTTGTTTTTTTCCGGAAGGTGTCCCTCATAATTCATAAGGGCCTATTCTTTGAATTGTAGGAATTTTATTGTACTGTTATTAAGAATCTATAAATTGGTAGTGTGCAGTATATGTTTGTATTGAAAACTGGAATTTATGAAATAGTTAATTTATAGTATTTCCTCTGAAACTACTCACTAAGTACTGTTATTACACTCACCCTGTGGGTGGGCAGTGGGAGCCAATGTAAACAATGGTGGTCACATTCTCAACATTCACAGTTATAGTCTTTTCACTTGAACTTTGCTAATGAGAATTAAGAGCTGTTTGTAGCAAGACAATTAATTGGCTGACAGGAAGGCATGCAAAAGGTTATTCAACCTAGCTTTAATGTTTCGTTTAGCTTAATTATATTCTGTAATTTAAAGGAATAATCATAGCCGGACCCATAAACATAATAAGAAACATAATATCATTACTAGAGCGAATGAAATAATGTTACCCAAAACAACACTTAAGAACTTGGGCACCTGTGTCCCGCACGCTGACACCTTGAAATTTTGTCTCAGGTGGACATGTCATTGGAGGAAAATTTTTGTCCTTTTTAAAGTATATATATACAGTGGTCCCTCTGTTAACGAACACAATGCATTCCAGAAGGTCGTTCGTTAACCGAAAATTTTGTTAACCGAAACCATTGTTTCATTGGGATTTTGGGTAATTAGTTCCAGCTCACTGAAAATTACATACAAACTAAAAATAAATGCAGTAAAGTACACATACTTTGAGGTGTGTATGTAGAAGGCTCCTGGTTGATGATGATGGGAATTAGAAGTGGGGGTGGAGGAGAAGGGATAAGAGAAGGAAGTGGGGGTGGAAGAGAAATTACCCCATGCTTCATGCTGCTATTTCACCCATAAAATTTTAAGTTCACTAGGTGTAATTCAAGATTATTTTCTTTAAATCAACACTGCACTATATATTGCCAATATGTTAAATAAATTTCAGAATGACCAATAATTGTACTGTAAAAAGGTAAAAATGTTTTATGTTCAAGAGAGTCTCAGGCAAGATGCTACCTCCACTGAGCAGAGAGACAAACTGACGCCATGCTGGGTGAGTCAAGTGGCTGTTGGGCGCGCTAAAAACTAGTTCCCTGTACTTCAATTATGTTAAATAATTGCAAAAATGACTAAAAATTTTAATATAAAACTTGGAAAATTATTGAATAGTACAACCTTCTTGATATTTACTCAAATGGGAACGCATTTAAACCCTAGAACCGATTACTGTATTGGCGGACTAATACTCCAGCTGGTGAGCAAGCGAAAACATGCTGAGAGGAATTCGTTAACCGAGTTGAAAATTCTTATGGAAGGTAATTCGTTAACCGAAATTTCGTTAACCGAGGGATCACTGTATATGTATTCAAATTAGGGTTTTGTGGCACAGTTCAGGATCTAACTCCCTGTAATTACAGTGTTCCTGTGGGAGATTAGCTTGTGAGCACCAAACAACTGCCTTACAACTTGTCTTCCAGTTCCTAACCCATTCGTTAGCTGGGGTGTTCCTATACAGGTGCTCCTCTACCTAATAACAAGTTGTTTTCCTGAGGCTTGTTCACAAGTCCAACTTTACTCCTATAGATACCGAACATGTAAAAATATAAAAAGATCGTAAGCACATATTAAAGTAACGGCCTATACAGTAAACCAAAAATCTGAAGCAAATTCGCAACTCCATGTACAGGCAGTCCCCGACTTACGACGGGGTTAGGGACCCAAATCCAGGTCGTAAGTTGAATTGGTTGTAAGTCGAAAATGCGAAAATAATACATAGAAAATCTAAAATGGGTGTCTCTTTTTTTTCTCAGCACCACAAGACTCTCACTTTTAAGCTTGCCAGCCATTTTAAAGGGAATTACAAACGAAAATTTTGTCAGTACACAGCTCAATCACTAACGTCGGGACTCGAAAATATGTACAGTCATGCGCTGGTTAACGTCCTAGATATGTTCTTGGAAACGTGACGTTAACCGAAATGGACTTTGTCCGAAAGTACAGAACCTATGGGATTTATTCTAATTGGTTCCAGGCACACTACCCTAAGTTTCCCACTTTACGACCATTTAGACCCACTAAATATTTATATAATGTTATGGTAAATATCATAAACACACATAGGCATGACTAGGTTTATTACAAAGTGATGAAAAGGATACGCTCTATACCGTACAGAGGGTAGTCCACAAAACATGTAGCCATGTCTCTCTCTATTTGAGTGCCCCGTCATAGGAGTCCGTTTTCTCTCACTTCAGCCCCCCCCCAACAACAAAAACACAAACACAAACAACAAACAAACCAACACAAACCAACACACAACCATCAACCACTAAAGATATAATGTTATGGTAAATATCATAAACACACATAGGCATGACTAGGTTTATTACAAAGTGATGAAAAGGATACGCTCTATACCGTACAGAGGGTAGTCCACAAAACATGTAGCCATGTCTCTCTCTATTTGAGTGCCCCGTCATAGGAGTCCGTTTTCTCTCACTTCAGGACGCCTGAGTCCTCCGTTTTCTCTCTTAATCTTAGAGTGCACCAGAGACTTCGTTATTCCTTAGTAATGACACAGAATTTGAAATTGCAACCCCAGTTGAGGCAACTAGATATGTCTGATTACAGCAAATGTGTTATTGTCAATTTGTAGATGAAAGATTTTATCCTCAATAGATGTAGGTTAACATTACACCTGGAGGCAAATGCCTAAGAAAGGAAGGATATTCCTTTAACACATAATATCTGGCCAGTATGGGGAGGAGCATCGTGTCTCCGTCAGGGGGTCGTGGAGTGGTGGTCCAGCAGGCGTTTTTTTGTGGGGAGGGTGGGGGTATATACGGGTGGTCGTAAGTCAAGGAATACTGTACCTGTAGTTCCTTTTCCAGTACAGTATTCATAAGCCATGCCACCTACCTTTCTCATGTTATTTAACAGTTGTGCTTCTTCAAGCAACATTTTTATACTATCTAGATGAAAAATGCAGCTAAAATCATTAGGGAAAAGCTAAATAAATCCCTGCATAATCACTGGTTGTGTGGCCTCAAAACTCGCCAGAGCAATGGAGCTCTGCTGAGACACTGTCTCTGTGGACCCCTAGCAATGGAGCCTCCCTCTCTCTACAGTGACGAGTCTTAACCTGTCAACAATGCCACAACAATTTTAAAAGACAACTGAAAAGAAAACTATCCGTATATGTTCATTTGCAACAGATATTTGTAGATTTAAAATGTTGTATATTATAGTGTATGATGTTCTGCTCTTTATGTTGCAACATAAAGAAAAAATCTAGGGGTTATGTTAGGCAATTGTAGGATACGGGAGCTTACCGGTAAGGTTAGCCTACAGTGGACATGTATGTGGTAGTTATTGTTCACCATAAATGACCCACGGACAGTACGTGTGGACAGGCTTATTCGTATCTCTGAAAGTTTGTAAGTCGAATTTTCATAAATAAAAGAGCACCCATTTACTTAATGGTCTGGTATTGCTAACTTACAATATGTTGGAAGGTTAATCGATAATCTCTTTAATAATAATTATCTTTATCTTTACAGATGTATACGTCTCAGATCTGAGGGATTGGAAGTTCCACACTTTACAGATGAAGATCACAATCACTTTGTCGATTTGTATTTTGTTCTTCTGTACAAATTTCAGCGCAAAGCTTTTTTAGATGAGGTGAGTACAGTAATTTATATTGTACAATTCTTTAGTACAGGTAGTCCCTGATTTTTGAGGATTTGATTTATGAAATTGAATACATTTTTTTTTTACTAAAATTAAAATATCCCCCCCCCCCCCGAATGAACGCTAATAACATTTGCTGGCGGGGGGGATGCATTTTTACTTGTGTACAAAGAAATGTATATTCCCTTTATGTGTTTGTCCTTAGGACAATTATTTCTTTTGTGTGTGTGTGTGTGCGTGTGTATGTGTGCGCGCGCGCAGTAGTACCCCGCTTAACGCGGTCAATAAAACCCACAGGGTACCGTGTTAAGTGAAAACCGCGCTAAGTGAACAACAGAACATATGGGATTAATTCCAATAGAAACCGGCCCGATCCCCAAACTCCACTTTTTGAAGACACAATACCTATGTTCTAGTAAAAATAACATCTTAATTTTATGATGGTACATGCACACAATTAATACTTAAGAGAAATAGAGAAATACAGTCGCCAAGTTAATGTCCATTCAAATAATGGACTCAACTCCCTCCCCCTCTTCTCACACTACACTGCTGGCTCTTCCCTCTCTGAGAAATTTTTTTGGGAAAACCACTAAATTTTAATAAATAATACCTCAAACTAAAGTTAGGGTAATACAATTGACATTGCTGGATTCCTTGTAAGACCAGGAATATTTTGAATATAAATGTCATATATTTTGCAAAAAAGATAACATATTTACTCAGAGTAAACATTATATCTAAAATTTGTATGTCTAATGCAAAATCTATGATGTTTATATTCAAAATGATCACCAAATTGTAAGAATTCCAGCAATGTAAATTATATTCTGGCCGGGTAATTTGTATGAATTTTATGAGCTAAAACAAATATCTTCAGTTTATAAAAAAAATATTCTTCACGACACTATCTGTCAATCAAAGTACCCCACCTTGCCTCACCCCCTCTTCCAACCGCACGGTCAGTCCCAACCCTCCCCCCACCCCCCACCAATCCTCCCTTCAAGAGATGTTGGGTGAAAAAACTAAATTTTAACATTTAGTATTAAATAATACCTCAGATTAAATTTAGGATAATATAATTGACATTGCTGGATTCCTTGTAAAACCAGGAATATTTTGAATATAAATGTCATATATTTTGCACAAAAGATAACATATTTCCTCAGAGTAAACATTACATCTAAAATTTGTATGTCTAATGCAAAATCTATGATGTTTATATTCAAAATGATCATCAAATTATAAGAATTCCAGCAATGTAAATTATATTCTGACCGGGTAATTTGTATGAATTTTATGAGCTAAAACAAATATCTTCACTTAAAAAAAAATATATTCTTCACATGGTAACAGATGGTCGGTCGGTCCCTCCCTCCCCCCCACCCCCCACCCCCCACCAACCGTCCCTACCAGATGTGTGGGAAAACCAGAATATTTACCTTTTTAGTAGTAAATAATACCTCAAACTAAAGTTAGGATAATATAATTGACATTGCTGGATTCCTTGTAAGCCCAGGAATATTTTGAATATAAATGTCATATATTTTGCACAAAAGATAACATATTTACTCAGAGTAAACATTATATCTAAATTTTGTATGTCTAATGCAAAATCAATGATGTTTATATTCAAAATGATCATCATATTGTAAGAATTCCAGCAATGCAAATTATATTCTGGCCGGGTAATTTGTATGAATTTTATGAGCTAAAACAGGCAGGGTGGCGGGTGGGGGGAATCTAAAAATAG